CAAGTGTAAGACTTGTCAGCTAGTGAAGATAGAACATCAATATCTTAGTGGTCTACCATAGCCTTTGCCCATTTCTGAATAGAAGTGAGAAGAAATAATCATGTTTTTTATGATGGGATTTCCTTGATCTACGTAAGGACATAATGTTATCTTGGTTGTGATAGATCGTCTGACGAAGTCTGCATATTTTTTTATCGAAAAATAGACTGTGTAAATAAGTAGGCATTGATATATGTGCATGAGATTGTCAGATTGCATGAGATATCAAAGGTAATTATTTCTAATCGGGACAGTAGGTTTACGTCTAAATTATTGAGAAACATTCAATAGAATTTGCGGACATAAATTATTTTAGTATGAATTTTCATCCGCAAATAGATCAATAGTCTAAAATAATAATTCAGGTAATGGAAGATCTTCAGAGAAATTTTATTTTAGATTTTCGAGGTAGTTAGGGTTATCACAAATCTCTAATAAAGTTTTCATACAAGAATAGCTTTTGACTTTAGTATTAGTATGGCCCCTTACAAAATTCTGTATGATAGGAAGTGCAGGACTCTTTTGTCTATGATAGAGGTTCGAGAGAGAAATTTATTAGTGCTAGCTCTTGTAGATGATCCAACTATAAAGATCAGCCTTATCTAAAATAGGTTAAAATTTACACAGGATAGATAAAGTACTATGTTTCAAAACATCGATCAATAGAATTTCAAGCTAGAGATTTTTTATTTTTGAAAGCGAGATTGATGATACGAGTAATCAAAATCTATAAGGAATGCAAGCTAGGTTCAAGGTATATTAGATCATTTTAAGTCATTAAGAGAATTGAAAAATCTGGTTATTTTCTATTACTACCAGAGTATATGTTTGAAGTTCACATTATGTTTCCTCTATCCTTTTTAAGGAAATATATTTCTAATACAGAAAGTAGAATTTTTTAGAAGAAAATTGAAGTACAGCCTAATTTGAGTTATAAAGAAGAACCATAAAATATTTTAGTATATGATATTAGAAAGATAAAAAGTAAACATATTCTAATAATTAAAGTTCAGTGGGAGCATCGATCTGACTGAGAGGCTATTTAGAAAAAAGAATCTCAAATGAAATAGTTATATCCTGATATATCGTCTAATCTGTATTTTGAAATGTCGAGGATGATATTTTTTCGAGAGGTTGTAATACCAATGATATAGTGTTTTGGATTCTTCTGGACCTCTTCTGGTGGGTCCTACATATTTAAATTCTCTACATTTTCATTTTTCATGTGAGTGTGAATATTTTGTATATGTATGAATGCATGAATTTCATTTTAAAACATATTCCAAAGGTCTGTGTATGTGAATCTTAAAATATAGAATTTTCTCATATAAACATTGCAGCATTGTGTTTGGGCGTTGCATCTCCATACTCTTGGTTTGACTAGGAATTTAAAGGCAGCACCACAACACTAGTCTCTAAGCGCTACAATGTTGGTATAAAATATTTCATAAATATTAAAATCCACTCAAGATTTTCAAATGCAATTTAATTTCTCCCCCTAGGAAGCTTGCTAGAGAGTGAGGATGATTTTTGAAAGACAATGTATGTTTCTGGTGGCTTTTGGTCAATATCGTCCGTCATGGTAGTTTAAGAATTTGTCTGGCTTGATGTAGTTTATATTTTTTCTTATCTCATTTTTTAATAATTTAAGGTTTTTGGGAATTTCCTAATGTCTTAATTTAAAAGTGAACATAAGATTGATATATTTGTTCACTAGGTAAAATTTCACCGCATAATTTTTGATATACTATAGCTTGCAATATTTTGTAAATTCTAATATTTTATTTATGAATTTTTATTGATTAATTTTGAAATTACATCATTTAAATGAGATGGAGAAATATTTTGATGCTTGTAAATAGTGTTATATTGCAAAAGGATTCTAAAATATAGCAATAAAAAATGTGCGGTAATATGGTGAATTTATGAAAACCATTATATTTAATAAAGGTTTTCCTTCAGACTTCTGATTTTGTTATTGTTAGTAGGACACTGTGAAACCTAATGATTACTCTAACATTTTATTATATTTTAAAATGCATTTATTATGAGATATGAATATGAAATGCTTACTGTTCTTTTATATTTTTACTATATTGCTATTTTGATTAATACTTTAAAGATATCGTTGATTGCTCTATGGACATTTATTTATTTTGAGGCATCTGGTTGAACCTATGTACAGATGAATATAGTTCACATTACTATTTTTATTTTATTATTGGTGATAATTATTATTAAAGATTTGGGTAGGTAGAATGTAGCCTGCTGAGCTGTTGTCGCTCATGCTTTTTTTTTTGCTTCTGTTTTAGGTCAGGATAAAGAAAAGGACTAGATGAGTAGAGGGCAGGTTGCAAGTTGTGGGATTTGAGTCTGTATAGATATGTTGGATGATTTTTTATTGTCATGACTTTTTTTGTTTTGTTCTCTATTGTCTTTGCCATATATTTTTTGTATATACTTATTTTGATTGTGAATACTTTTGAGAAGAATGAAAAAGTTTTTGATGATGAGTATTTATTTATTTAATTCAAGTTTTAGTGGCTCTAAAATAACAACAATAACATCATCAATCTTTTATCCCACTACATGGGGTCAGCTACATGAATCATTTTTCTCTATTGTGTCATTTTAAGAGTCAAATTTTCATTTAAATCTAATAAGAAAAGATCGTTTCTAATATTTTCTAACATAGCTTTTTCAGGTCTACCTCTATCTTTCTTAACATAGTCTAAATTTAATACATATACTATTCTAATTCGGTCATCGGAAGGCCTTATCTCTGGCAAAATTAGAGAGTGTTGTTGCTAATTCTTGCTATGTGAGTAATCAAGATGCCTAATACCAGAATTTCTCTATGTTGTTAATTTTGTGAGGCTGAGGGACCCTATTAAAGTCCCTCGGTTTCATAAATTGTGTTTGATATCAGGTTGCATTTTCTAATGTTGTACTGTTATTGTGTTGTTTGGTGCAAAATAATGATGCTGATAATTTTGTGGTGATTGACAAGCTACTCTACAAGTATATTGACCTTCGTTATTAAGATATGGGTAAGATTTACAACAATATAGCACCTCCTGACACTCATACTAGCACAACCAACAGATTCTGACGTCAAATTTCTTAGACAAAAGCAGTTAATATCTTTACCAAACAATGTCTATGATTCTTAAGAGCCCGTATGTTCTCTTCAAAGCCTTATGGTATCATCATGGGGCTGCAGCCGAAGAATTTCTATCCACTTGTCACGACTTGGCCCGGTAAGCTCGCATAGGCAAGACGGGAATGAAAGTCGAACAGTAGAAAATAAAAACATGCTAGCCATAATTGAAATTACAAGTAACATACAAAAGAAATAACATTTCTACATTATTGCATTTAGAGAACTTTCTAAATTTAAAAGAATTTTATTTTACCTACCTCACCATGGTGATTTGCCAAAAGTCCTAACGAGCTCTTTCCTTTGCACGATCAATATATAAAATAGACATAACATAACGTGTAAACATCGCTTGTTCACACATAAATTTCTCAAAACTCTAATCTATGAACAAAGAACTCATCCATACATCATTCTTTCACTTTCTAAAAGAACTCTTTTTTCCCAATTCATGATAAATCTCATTCTTATTTTCTCTAAATTGGGATTTAATCATAATCTTAGCTTTTGGAAACCTCCCTCAATTCCTTTGCTTACCACATGCATAAAGAATCTCTCTTACACTTAAACATTAAATAAAATACAATGAATTTTTGGATTTTCCTAAATTAAAAATTAGAAAAATAGTCTTTTGTGCTAAAGCTCTAATTTTTACTTTTTAAAAACCTTCCTAAGTCCATTAGGAACCAATACACTTAAAAGTTTTTGGGTTTGGAAAGTCTTAAATCTTGGACCATGAAATATTTTTCATAAAATTTATCTAACTTCATATAGAAGCTCTATAACGTCATAAGGAAACTTTCTTATAAAGTCATTTTGAAATAATTTAAAAATCGGAGAAAATCCTAATTTTTAAAATCTAAATTTTTCAAGAAATCATCTCTTTTTTGAGCTTAGAATCATCCTCTAAACCTTCCCTATCCTTGAAGATATTTTGAGTTTTCATCAAATCCTAGATTTCCCCCTTAGAGAAAACTTCATAAAAGAATGAGAAAACTCTTAAAAATAACTTACCTTAACCTTTTCTTAGTCTTCTCTACAAATTCCTCCACGATTGGCCGCTGGCAAGCCGCCGCCGGAGAGCCGCCGCCGGAGAGCCGCCTTCGCCTCTCCCGTCACCTCTCTCTTCCTCTTCCGTTCGGTTCGGCCGCACGAGAGGAATGGGGACCGAAATATTTCAGTCCCCTAATAAGAGTGGATTGCTCATATTAATTGCACAAAGTCCAAAATGCCCTCACTTACTAACATATCCACTTACATGACATTAAGGACATTCTTATCATAATGAAACTTCAATAAATTTTACTTCCAAATTACACAAAATTCAATATGGGTTCTTTATGTCGAATCGGTCAGAATTTTGCGTACTATTTTATAAAATTTATTGCGTCGAATTCTGACGACTTTGAAATTTTGCCTAATCTCGTCGTGGCGCATCGAAATATGTGCGACGCTGAAGATCGTTACTTTTCGGGTTTTACACCACTAGTACCGAGACAAGTATTGTCACTACAATTTTTATATTCCTCTTTATCCCAAGTCATCTTATGCTGATTCTTCTTCCTTCCATAAATCCTCCAATTGGAAAGCAGAGTTAGCGTATCATATAAACCTCTTCCAAACATTCTTACATGATATTCATTTAGGAGAATTATTATATTCTGTATAAATGCCATTGAGCAAAGAATATTTTCTGTTGTTAGTAATGTGATAGTAGATTTGCCATATTAATTATGCTTCTCACATTTGGCTTTGTTCTTTGTTTTATTGGGTTAACTCACACTTCAATGGTTATTTTCAGGTAGGGTCCCAGATTTCCATTAAAACCTCCAGTCCTCTTTTATCTAGTTATTCAAACACAACAGCACTTGGGAACCTTCTGCTTGCTGCTAAAGATCTTAGTGTCTCAAGTACCTGGATGGCTTTCAGTGAGCCAATAGGCATATGGAATTCCAACAGCTTCACAACACAACAAATTCTAGAGCATCTTAATGTAACAAAAGATGCTTCTGATTACTTATGGTATATTACCAGGTAAAATGCAACACTCATTACAACTTAAGAATCTCACATGCTACGTGAACTGAATATAGCATCATTCATTTTTTATGACAACTTGTTTGATGTAGAGTAATTAAATAAGTAGTAAAATTTGAGTTGTCCAGGTTACAATATTGAACAAGTTTGTTAGGAACATTTTTTTGAAGAATTGATGTCCTTGTATTTTATGTAATATACATGCCTGGCGTAAGATGGACATTGCTAATATTGTTCATCCCTCCAGATTTGAGATCTGTCCAGTATGTTAATAACTGTATGGCATTTTACTTATCATCTTTAAGCTGTCAGTCATACAGAAAGAAATACAATTAGATTAAAGACCCCCTATTCTGTTGTATGTTCTTTTAATGCATATATGTTTCGCTAGTATGAAAATGCTTAGCAGAAAACAACATAAAACCTTTTTTTTAATCAGAATCAATGTTTCTGGTGAGGACATCACTTACTGGAAGAAAAAAGGCAGTCACCCGGCACTGACAATACATAGCATTCGAGATGTAGCCCGAATTTTTCTAAACGGCCAGCTTATAGGTACTGTTTTCACTTTATGTGGCTTTTATCTTCCATGTAAGTAACAACAAAAACAGTTGTTTCGTGAATTTCAACATTAAAATATAAATAGTGTCTACCTCTTTTTTTTCCACTTTATTAACCTTCTACATCAAATATGAAGCATATTTAGCTGCTCTGCTGTGAAAAGGATGGCACTCATAAGTTGTGGAGGTTGTTTGGTTTATATTCAAATTGAACTTCCCAACTTCTGTTATTTTTAATTTTTTTTCTTGCTTTGTAGTGGTCATATATATGATTAGGATGGGAAATTGGAATATAAGTTTTCTTACAGGCAAATTAATGAAATTAATATATTTTGATTCACATGAAGATAAATATTCTATGAATTCAAGAAGTTAAATGGGTTGGAGAGAAGGCCAAGGAGAATGATAATTTAGAATTTAAATTATTGTATTCAATATTCTAGTAGGAGTCTTTGAGCTCTGAAAATTCAACCCGAGCCTCCCTTGCTGCTTTTCTTTCGAGGGAGTTTTAACGGATTAAAGTTCAGGGGTAAATTTTGGAAAGGTAGATGGGTTTGTAGATAAGACACTACCCAGAGATTTCACCCTCATTTTGCGGGCAAATTATTAGGTCCTAATTTTACGTCCGGATTTCATGTGCTTTTAGTGTGCTTTTGATGTATTTTTGAAAAAGAGCAGATAATACACATATTTAATTGCATTTAGCTGCTTTTTTGTTGAGTATTTGTAAAAATATAGCAAAAGCTCAACAAATATCTTACTCATTTAGTATTTATTGTCCTTTTGCTGTGCTTTTCAAATTCTCAGTAAAAGGACAGCAAAAGAGCAGCTAATATGCAGTTAAAATTGTGTATTAGCTGCTCTTTTTCAAAAAATATATCAAAAGAGCACTAAAAGCGCATGGAATCCAGACGAAAAATTAGGTCCGGTGACTTGACCTATTAATATGCCCATTTTGCGAGGAGTATATGATCTAAGTTCTGGTTTCTTATAGGCGCAAACCTTTATACTTAATTATCCCTCTCGATCAAGAGAGAGAACTATTGATTAAGACTAATCATCAATTAGATACGCAGATAATATGTGCATCTGGCATATAGTTGTCACGACCCGGCCTAATGAGCTCGTCTAGGCGAGGCAGGAACGGATGGTCGGACGGTAGGTAAAATTTTTTATTTCCTAAAACTATAACCTTAACATTTGAAAGAGCCTCTAAAACATTAAATTGAAAACACATAAACATAAAATCAGGCATAACCATAAAATTACCTTTCCACGGGTGCTCCTCTTCTAGGGTATACATTGCCACCCCTTCTACTCATTTTGATTTATCTAAACTTACCTGAAAAATGTTAACAACTAACATTAAGCCGAAGCTCAGTAAGTAAACACAATTCTAAACTACAGTAATCACGAGAAAATGAACAATATTCTAAATGTCAAATTTATTTAAAACATAACATAAATTGATTTTCTAAGAACATGCAATTAAGCATATCATATCATAAAACCATATTTTTAATTTTCATTTTCATATTCATATCAAATACTTAGCTTTCTCATTTCGTATATATATTACAATCGTCACAGGAGCCACCTTCTAGTATTATAAAGGTACTCCATTACCATTTTCCTTTTCCATATCTTTTACCATATTAACGTGCATGAGTACAGCGTCCCCAGCTAGTACCATAAGGGGGTGAGCTCCATCAATTCAGCATGCACATACAAGCATTCAATATAACAAATATTTCATAATCATATCATCTCATTTCATCTTATTTCGTATAACATATAAACCTTATCATATGATATCATAAAATGTAATATGTAATTTGCATGATCATTCATTTGATAAGAGTAAAGAATCATGATTGGGCTATCAAATCATATAACTTGAAAGAAACAAAAGATATTACTGTAATTAAAGAATCATGCATACTTACAGAAATTTCGAAATTGATTCTCCTCGCTAATCCTTCTTCCTTTGATGTTTCTACAAAACACCTAAAAGAGTTAATTTCTCCTTGAAAATTATTTATAATAAATCTAAATTAATGTTTTCATTCTATTCCTAATCTACCCTAAGTTCTTTCTCTCCCCCTCTCCAAATGATCATATAAAGCAAAATACATATTTTAAAAATTCATACTTTCGTATAATTATATATTTTAATCAAAAAAACTCTTTTTCCATAACTTAAATTAATTTAAAAATAACTTCTATTTTCGGATTTAAAATAATTATAAAATAGAAAAATACATTTTGTAAGAAAAAACTCAATTTCTTTTCTTAAAAATCCTCTTAGGACCCTTAAGAACAACATTTGCAAAAGCACTTCCAAAAATTCCAACTTTAGAGAAAACCCTAATTTTCTAACTCCACATTCTTTGTGAAAAACTTCATTTCTATGCATAAAAATATCTACTAAACCTTCCCTACACATCTCTTAAGGAAAATGAGAAGTTTCTACCAAACCCTAACTTTTTCATCTTAGGAAAACTTTGCGAGGAAAGGAGAAATACATAAATAAAGCATACCTTAGTCTTCCTCTTATTCTCCTCTACTATTTCCTTCCAAGAACCTCGCCAGAGAAGTCGCCGAAGCCGCCGCCCGAAACCTTGCGTGCGTCCGCCCTCTCCTTTCAGTCGCGTGCTCTTCTCGGTTCCGCCTCCTCTTCACGGTTTGGCCGAACGAATGAAATGGGTGACCGAATGAATTCGGTCCCCTTTAATTCCCTTAGATGGCCAAAGGACAAAAATGCCCTCACTTAAACATTCCATGCATTAATAACCTCTAAGGGTATTATTGGTATTATGAGACTTTTCTTAATTTCAAATTCAAAATTAAACAAAGTTAAATATAATTTATATATATCAAATTTCTTAGAATTTTGCGTAGAATTTTAGAAAATTAATTTCGTCGAAATCCTACAACTTTGAAAAATTCACTTAAATCTTGTCGCGACGCATCGAAAAGCGTGCGCGGTTTAAAATGACATTTTTGTGGGTTTTACAATAGTAGCAGCATAGGATGTTGGAAATTTTGATATTTAAAATTGGGAATTTCACCATCTTCCACTTAAAGCGGATGGTAGGGGAATAGATGATGGACCCGATCAAGATCCCATGGTTCCGTCATCCCGGGCCATCGTGGTCCTTATTCTACTTAGTCAAAGAAGGTACTCGACCCAACCTGACAAAAGGATCTTTGTCGGCAGTTCGTCCAAGGGTACCTTATAGACCAGAGGGGAATGTTTGTCTAGGGGACAAATTTGAATTCACATTAGCTAACAAAGGGCTTTGCGTCATATCGATTATATCCTATTGATTCATATCTCAATGATTTGAATCAACTAAGAAATGTATTGGCTCTGGCCATAACTGTTATCTCATGGTGCCATTTGGCGGCAAAACCACTCGGTTCAGAGGGCCCCAAGTCATAACCGTTTATCCTACGGTACCATTTGGTGGTAAAACCATCAGTTAGAGGACACGTACAACGTCCTTACTAGCAGGAGATTATTTAAGAATGGATTCTAGTGATATTTTCGACTAGGCATTAGCTCTATAAGAGCTGAAGTAAATTTTAATTTGTTAACCCCGACAAAGTGTTACAGCGGGTGGATTTATTTTGTGCTTCAAGTGATTGATAATTAATGTCAGTTTTAAATATTTGAATTTGATATTTTTTGGAAGTTTTGGATTTTTTTGGGTATTTGGAATATTTGAAATTAACCACTTCGGTTGAGTTCTGCATTCAACACGACCATCATCGGGGTGTTAATGGGTAATTGTATTTTATTGATTTGACCTTGTCAACTCTGTCTACTGGTCGACAGAAGACCGGGCTCGTAGGCTTTATGTTTTGGTTGATAAATTTTTTTTTTCATAGACCTTAAAGGCCTTAGATGAACGTATTAAATAGATATTTCGGTTGACATCTTAACTGTATATTTGCTTGATAGTTTGAACCGTGTCAACTTCTATCTATCCATATAGAAGGGTTAAGCTCGAATTATGTTCATTTATTGACCTGTGCAGCTTCCCTAGACGTCAAGTGTGTACCCATAACAAGCTCGTCGTGTCCCATGCAGGTGTTTGGGGGCATTTTATAATTATTTGTTGGATTTTCTCAACTCATATTTACCTTCTTAGGAGGATCAAGTTCAAATTTATTAACCCATGCAGCATCCCTAAACGTCATGTGTGTTCCTACAACACGCTCGTTGGGGCCTATGCCAGTGTATGATACATCATCTTTTGTGTACCTATGTGCATACATATTATTGTGCATTCGTGAGGGCATTTTTGGAATATTTATAAACGCTTTATGTCTGCTTGCATAGATATTACAGATTCGGTGGCATGACGTCGTTCTATAATTATTTTTTTCATTTTATGCAGGTAGAATGTCGTGCACTACTTGTTGTTTTCTGCTGGTGGATTGTAGTGCACTAATGAATTTTCTGCTTTTGCTTGTGGACGCTTTTATTTATTGTAGTTCTTCTATATTTGCTCATAGACAATCTATTATATGTGTAACAAATTTCCTATAGCAGCTCGTATGTATTTGTATTTGATGTAGTCATTTTGCACTTTGCTTGTGGATAATGCGTTATCACTCCATCTTTGAAAATGATGATTAGACATAGCTTTCTCTTCCCAGAACTCGAATAGGAATCAACAAGAAGCTCTTGAAATGATTGAAATAGTAGGTATGTTTTATATTTGTAATTGTAAGTTTAGGCCACCAAGCTTTTCATTAATCTTTAACATCACATTTTTCAAACATTGATTATTAATTCCGTTAGGCGCAATACAGTGTGTTGACGTTCACTTGAATGCATTCTGTTGTATTACATTGTTGCCTCCACTGTATGCCAAATCCTTCAAGTTGCACTGACATTTTGAATGTCGAATGGGTATCCTGCAGCGGCTCTTAGGAGCTTGTACTTGTTATAGACATTTTGCTTGTAGATGGCATCTGGTGCAT